CAGTGACTTGGATTTTTCAAGTCTCCAACCGAGAAGTTTTCCTCACTCGGGAAATTAAGGGAACACTACCTCAACCTACATGGTTCACTCACAAAGCTTCAACATACAAGCTTCAACAAAAGAAAAATTCAAAGAACTTAGTGAAGAAGGCTTTGGTGTATTTAACACAATACGTTGAAATGAAGCAAAGCTTATTTATTGATATCTTTGATAAGTTACAAATATGTACTTATACATGAGTCAAAATAAACAAACAAGATGGAGCCTTCACAAAGGTTGCTTAGGAGAAGTCTCAGCAGTCGGTAGAGCCCCAAAAAGAGAAGGCACCGGACGGTGATCATTCGGAGCCTCAGTACTGGACAGAACCTTAGAAGGAAGAGGCATCAGAGGTTGATCATTTGGAGCTTCATTACGCGGTACAGCCCCAGAAGATGAAGGCAATAAATGCCTTTGGAACAAACCCACAAACCTGTGATGATCAAGTAAAATCTGACCATCAGATTCCTTCATCTGGTCAAGCTTCATCTTCATGTTTGTAGCATAGTCATGTGCGAGCCTGTGCAACTGTTTATTCTCATGCTTGAGCCCTCTAATCTCCTGTTTGAGACTCATCACTTCAGCCGCCAATGATTCAACTTGGCGAGTTCGAGCAAATAGGCGTTGGGCCATATTAGACACAGAACCTGCACACTAAACACTGAGAGCCAGAGAATCCTTAACAGCCAACTCATCAAACCGTTTGGAAAGAAGTATGTTATCTTTGGGAGTGAGAAGGTTCCTGGCCACCACCGCAGCGGTCATATCATTCTTCATCACGAAATCCCTACCACTAAGAGAACCAGTAGGGGATAAGAAGGATAGGCGCCATATGTTGTCTGGAGAAGGCGTGGCTGCCTCTTCACCAAGGTTCAAGTTAAAATGACGATTGGAGGGGCCAAACATTTTCAAAGGTGTTGAAGAGAGAAGAGGTCGGACAAATCAAGATCTTAGAAGTGCAAGAAGGGAGCTTCTACTTGTGGAGATTCAAGTGTGCTTTGGAACTTAATGCCAGCCTCTATAAAAATCTGCACTCGACGAAGCTTCAGAAATCAAAAAGGCGTTTGCCTTCTCAAAAGCTGGGCTGCTCAGAGGCCACGAGGGCCGATCTCAGAAATCGAAGAGGTGTTTGCTTCCTTAAAAGCTGGGCTGCTCAAAGACCACGAGGGCCGATCCCAGAAATCGAAGAGGCGCTTGCTTTTTCAAAAGCTGGGCTGCCGAGAGACCACGAGGGCCGATCTCAGAAATTAAAGAGGCACCTACTTTTTCAGCCTTGTCAGCTCCTGTCACATGCACACTCAACTTTGCGGAAATTACGGGTAATCTGTCGAAGATTTCTGGTGAAGTAGAAAACACATGAATCTTACTGTTCAATCATCAACTTTCCACACGCAACATCAGCTCATGGGTACCACATATAACTTTGCTAAAGATCTCTGACCAAGTTTAGACACGTGAAGCTTGTAGATCCCACTATATCGCTATGACCAAGAAGGGTAAAAAAATAGCAAAGAAACAACACTAACAAAGTTTAGACACATAAATTTTGAAGGTCTAGCTACCATATTATTACCCATAAGGGTAAAAGAACAGCACCACTGCTGGATAATTGGAAAGTTGGGCTGCTCAGAAGCTAGGCTGCTTAGAGACCACGAGGGCCGATCTCAGAAATCAAAGAGGCGTTTGCTTCCTCAAAAGCTGGGCTGCTCAAAGACCACGAGGGCCGATCTCAAAAATCAAAGAGACGTTTTCTTTCTCAAAAACTGGGCTGCCTGGAACCCCTTACCTGACATTGCTCTCGAGTACTCATCTTCAACATCTTATGCTTCTAAAGAAGATATCATATCTGCCTGAGGAACAGATAGAGCAAGTGAGAAAGATACAAGGAAGCATGTGGAGACAAGTGTAACAGAACACGTGCCAATACATCCACTACTTTGTCAACAGCAAAATTATCCCATATCAGCAGGGTTGAACGTACTTTAGATTTGATGGACTTGTTTTGACCCTCAAATTCTTCAGTTGACCTTATACTCTAGAGGAAACCAGAAAACCCTCCAAGCCAGTTCAAGAATAAGCTTGTGGAAAGTTACTTCTTCAAAAGCAAAAGTATCTCATATCATCTCTTCTCATTTTTCTTCTCTTTATCCTTCATGATGCCTGCAAGATAGGCAGAATAAGAATAATCAGCCGGAACTCGAAATCAAACTTCTCATCTGGGACTGATTGCTTGGAGCTCTGATTGCTTACCTTGTTTGTCACCCCTTTCAGCAGATCCTCTAGCTCGGCGACTTGGGGGACTCCTACTACATGGTTTGTATCGCGCTTGACCAAGCTTGAAACTACAAGTAAGCTTCAAGTGAAATTGATACATTACCTTGTGCATCTCCACCAGTTAAAGATACCACCCCTGGATGGAGGAATAGTACTTCCAGAGAAGATGTCATATCTACCTATGAGACAGATAAGGCAAGTGAAGACGATACCATACTTCGGTACTTAGAAGTTTCGTGATTACTTAGCGGCTTGGATCTTGCAATTCCCCAACCGAGGAGCTTCCCTCACTCGGGAACTTAGGGGAGCATTGTTTGTACCATACTTGACCAATCCTGAAACTACTGAGCACCGGTCAACATTATACCGTCAAGGACCCAGAAGAGTTTCCCTCCAACCAGGAGGCCAATCATAGAGCGACACGTGTTGACATCAGAAGCCAATCATAGCGCGACACGTGTCAACATCGAAAGCCAATCACAACACGACACGTGTCAATGTCAGAATAAGGCTAGAAACTCTCTTCTATAAAAGGTGATCATTCTCCCAAAATATTTCCTAATGTCATTTGTACTAAATCATTTACTTGTACTCACTAAATGAGAGCTTGAACCAATGTACTTGGGTAAACCTTTCACAATTAATGAGAACTCCTCTACTCCGTGGACGTAGCCAATCTGGGTGAACCACGTACATCTTGTGTTTGCTCTCCTGTCTCTATCCTTTTACATACTTATCCACACTAATGACCGGAGCAATCTAGCGAAGGTCACAAACTTAATACTTTATGTTGTACCAAAGTCCTCACTGATTTTGTGCATTAACAATCCTTAAGTCCTTACCTTTTTGCATTGGTAATGGATGAGTTAACATGACATATTCAAGATGTTATTCCTTGGTGTCTACTTTTCACAGACATTATAGGGTTGATAGATGAAACTTAGGAAGGGGTAAAGGCGAAGCTTAACCTTTGGAGAGAAGTGTTGGAATCTAAAGGTCTTCACCTAAGCCGATCAAAGACAGAATATATGGAATACAAGCTGGATGGATGAAGTGGAAGAGTGCATCCGACGTGTTGTGTGACCGTCGTATGCCACTGAAGCTCAAGGGAAAATTTTATAGGACGGCAATAAGGTCGGTGATGCTGTATGGCACAGAATGTTAGGTAGTGAAACATCAACACGTACACAAAATGGGTGTAGCGGAGATGAGGATGCTTCGTTGGATGTGTGGGCTCACGAGAAAGGATAAGATTAGGAATGAGGATATCCGAGGTAAAGTAGGAGTAGCCGAAATTGAAGGAAAGATGAGAGAAAATCGGTTACGGTGGGTTGGACATGTGCAAAGAAGGCCTACTGACGCTCCGGTTCGAAGATGTGACTACGAGACAGAGGTTCAGGGCCGAAGGGGTAGAGGAAGACCTATGAAAACTTTGGAAGAGACCCTAAGAAAAGACTTAGAGTACTTAAATCTAACGGAGGACATGACACAAAACCGAGCGTAATGGAGTTCTAGGATTCATATAGCCGATCCCACTTAGTGGGAAAAGGCTTTGTTGTTGTTGTTGTTGTTGTGTGAGAAGGTTTTGCTTAGAACGTTGATTTGTATGTGGAGTTGAAGGTCCTTTTTCATTGCCTGCAACTTTGAATTTATAGGTACATTGATGATAAGTTGTGGAAACAATTCGATTGCACCGCACCTCCTGGAACTTTATCCCCTAATTTTTTTGGAACTTTATCTACCAACAAAAGAATTATCCTATTGGATGCTTCAGATTGTTTTTATCCCATATCTCATGCACAGAAAAATGTCAAAATAATTCCAAGAACTCTTAATAGATAACTGAAAACTATCTTAACAGCTCCTTTATCCAACGGCCTAGAACACATAAGCCGATGCCGGCCATTTCATTAGTTCGAATCTAAACCGTTGTACGAACTTAAAACTGATTGTTTTACAGTTTTTCAGGCATGATAATGGAAACTTAAAGTGATTTCAAATTCTGGGACTTGGATGACATTATAAGGCTAAATTGTTTGTTTAGACTATTAAATCCAGATTTGGACAAAAGTAAAAGGAACAAATAGATTTCAAATTATTTCTTGCATATATCAATTTGGAACGGATTAAATCCAGTAATTTCAAACACATTGAATCTAATGTGTGTGTGTATATATTCATTTTTACAATTCCTCTCGGCGTATCTGCATATCCCTCTCTGTCATAATCGAATAAAACAAATTGAAGAGAAAGAAATAAAGGGGTTCAACTGCCAATAAATTCCGAATTAGTGTCATTGGTGGAACTTCAACTTCCGTCGTCAAGTAATAAGTATGAAAAAAAATGAATATTGGTGAAAAATAATCGAAAGTAGTGGTTCATATATTCAGTGTACGTTGTTCTTTTCTCTTTTAATTAGTTGCCTTGTTGGTTAGTGAATGTGAAAGAGCTGTGCAAGTTTGTCTCAATACATATATATTCAGCAAAAGGAATAAGGTGGTGGGTACACCTTGTTCAATTATGTAGCAAATTAAGTAAGCCATCCAAGAAAAAAAAAACTAATTTTTGTTGCTTTCTCCCCCACCCTTATTCTAAAGATAAGTCCCAAACTTTGTGTGTACATAGAAACGGAAGATAATGCAGACTATTTTATCTTATATACTACAATTAGTTGACTGAATGACAGTCATCTCGTGTGCAGAACTGAGTTTAGCCAAGTTAGCTAGAGCAATTTGTTTCAACTCTGAATCCAAGTTCCAATCCTCCTTTCCGTAGTTTAGATGAAGTGAGCGTATATATTATCCAATCGTTTGTCAAAAAACAAATGGCAGTCATCTGTCCACACATCACAGAGATCGCACAATTAAGATGTGTTTTTCAGTTCATCTCACTTGCTTACATCCTCAGAAACACCAATAGAGAGAGAGAGAGAGAGAGAGAGAGAGAGAGAGAGAGAGAGAGAGATATGGAGGACAAAGCCTCAAACCCTCATGCAATCATGGTGCCTCTTCCTCTCCAAGGCCATGTAACCCCATTGACACATCTGGCCACGAAGCTTGCTTCACAGGGCTTCACCATCACTTTTGTCAACACCCAATATATCCACCACCACATACTCAAGTCACAACCCAACGACAACACAGAAGACGATATCTTTGCCACGGCGCGTAAATCTGGTCTAGACATACGGTACACAACAGTGAGTGATGGATTTCCACTAGCTTTCAACCGAATCCAGAACCTCGACCAATCTCTTGAGGGTGCTTTGCATGTCTTCCCTGCCCATGTGGATGAACTTGTTGGAAATTTAGTCCAATCTGACCCCTCAATCACTTGTTTGATTGTTGATACTTTCCAATCATGGTCAGCAACCATAGCCAATAAGTACAACCTTATCCATATTTCCTTCTGGACTGAACCAGCTCTAGTGTTCAACATCTACTATCACTTGGACCTTCTGCAAAAGAATGGTCATTTCGGTTCTCATGGTAAGTTCTCATAAAGATCTCATATTGCGTATATTATTGTTTGAATTTTACTATGACATAATATAGTTATAAACATTTGTTTTTGTCGCTTGATTTATTAGATAATCGCGAGGACATCATTGATTACATACCTGGCGTGAAAGCTATTGAACCAAAGGACTTGATGTCACACATCCAATCAACAGATTTATTTTGCCCAATGCTCCGAACGTTTTACAAGTCATTTCGTGAAGTGAAAAAGGCAGATTTTATTTTGTGTAATACAGTGCAAGAACTTGAATTTGAGTCCCTTTCTGCCTTGCAAGCTAAGCAACCAACATATCCAATTGGCCCTGTCTTCCCCGATAATCTCACCAAGAATATCGTGGCTACCAACCTGATGCCAGAATTTGACTGCATCCATTGGCTCCACGAGAAGCCTCATGGTTCGGTTTTGTTCATTTCATTTGGAAGCTATGCTCAAGTTACAAAAGATGATTTTGAGGAAATAGCTCATGGGCTTTTGCTTAGTAAAGTGAATTTCATCTGGGTACTTCGTTCCGACACTACAGGTTATGATGAAACGTATATTCTACCAGTCGGATTTGAAGATGAGATTAAAGATAGAGGGTTGATGGTGCCATGGTGCTCTCAGATTGAGGTGCTTTCACATCCAGCAGTAGGAGGGTTCTTAACGCATTGTGGATGGAATTCTATACTGGAAAGTATGCGGTGTGGTGTTCCCATGCTATGTTTTCCTCTAGTGGCTGACCAAATCACTAATAGGAAACTAGTAGTTGATGATTGGGGCATTGGACTCAATCTTTGTGATCGGGTTAAACCAGTTAGAAGGGTGGAGGTAGCAGAGAAGATCAACCGTCTGATATGTGGAAAATCGGGTGACGGTTTGCAGAAGAAGGTCATGAAAGCAACACAAACATTGGAGGATGCAGTGGCTCTAAATGGGTCATCACAAAAGAACTTATCTCAATTCATTAGTAATGTGAAGGAAAAAATTCAGACACGAATGTGACTTCCATATTGCCATCATGTGGTTCTTCTTCATCATCTCATTGACTGGCTGCCATAAGACGCTTCATTAGCGATGTAAAGGCCGAAATACAAGAATGTAACACATCTAGAATTTATATGTGCGCTTTTTCCTTTGGTTCCGCAACTCTATTATGCACGTTTGTTGCACAACTCCATTATTTGGGAATGTTAATTAAGCAACCTCTCAATTAACATAAACTCAAATTTTCACAAGTTTTTCGAATACTTTGACAGCTTTGTTACTGACTTTTTTGGGTTTTATATGTGTGATTGGTGGTTACATGTACAATAATAGTATGATTTGTTTGTCTATTAGGTGTACAAGAAAGAGTAAAGTGATTTATTTGTCTCAGCTTCCGGATTCTTGCTTTTGCTAGTTTTTGTTTTGGTTTCGTTTTCAAAAGTGATTTTTACCCGTTTAGGTATTTCTTCCTTTGCTTGTTCAGTAAATTTCACTAGTGGTGTCGAATGGTTTCACCATCACTTTCACCAAAGACTTATCTTCTTGTTACTAATTCTGATTTGCTAGAAAGGGAAAATTTTGGATTAGTAGCATTGACAAGAGATGGAAGCTGAAGAATCATCCAGATATCAGAGCGGACGCAGTTCAGTTTTTTCTTCTCTCTATTCGTTACGCTGCCAAGTTTACAACATTACAACATTACAACATTACCACATATTAATCTAACACTTAATCTTTACTACGAAAAATACGAGCAATTTTTGCTTCTATTTCTATACAAATCATCATACTAGAAGATCTTTACTCTCTTATTTGGCTAGGTTGGTACGTCTCTCTGTTTCTTTAGACATCTAATCACTAACATACTGCAACGGATTATGATGATTTCTCTTATCCACATTTTCATATTTAACAATTTCACTACATAATGTTTACTTGCAATTTCTGCAGGCCTTGGTCTTGCTCCAATTTTCACAGCAAAATTCATAAGGGTCTAGGGATTCCTTTTCTTTTCGGATTTATTGGTCATTTTCTTTCAGTTTGTGGATGTGATATTCAAGTCCCACATAATCATTAGAATCAAATGATCGGTTAAATGGAATCCAACAATTCATTCACTCGATCCTGAACAATAAATTGAAAGTAAAAACCTTACTGCAAATGCTTTGATCATGTTGCGTAGAGTAGTGTGCTCTCTTCTCTGTCCTCAAATTCGAATCCGCACTTTTGTACTTTAGATTAGATTAATTAGAATATAGTGTGAATAAAAAGATAGTAAACCACTACTAAAGATTATGATAGAATATTAAGTCTGTTGTGAAATAGCTGTCCTAGTTTGTCCCGCACAACTAACTATATTCTACATAATAATGCAGTTTGATGCCACTTAGTACAACGGTCTAACGGTATTTCTCTTCATTTGTAAGTAAGATGTCTTAGGTTCCACCTCCTCCCCTCTAGTGTACATAATATTGTTTGTTAAAAAAAAAATGAAATTTAACAAAAATTATTAAAAATAAAGAAAATAAACTTAAAAACATAAAAATACAAAATTATGACATGTGGCGCTACATATGGCTAAAAATCCACTCAAAAATCTATCCACAAAAATTGTACTTTCGGATAATGACACGTGGCAAAATGAGATTGGTTTTAAATCTTATCCGAAATTAAAAATAAAATAATCTTTTATTATTTTATAAATATATATATATATATATATATATATATATATATTAATACGAATTGTCTGGGCTTAGAGGTGGAGATGCACTTAGACAATTATTGCGTACTAAAGGCAGTAATTACCTTGCTCAATAGTTGAGCAATAATTGCTTGGACAATCTGGTAGGAGTGGAAATGCTCTAATAGTAGCTCAACGCTCTTTGATCTCCTAGGGGATAGTGGATTTAATCTCATCCCCCTCCAAAAAAACCTCATTTAGCCCTCCTAAGCCCAGGGGTAGGGGAGCCAAGTTTCTCTCCCAGACAAATATCGACTAGCCCAGCCCCTAAGAGATATGACACAAGGCTGACGTCAACGTGAGTCAACCATGATCTCAAACCTTTTTCTTTTTTTTATGTGTCAAGCACGTGGAAAACACACGCTCGTGGGCGTCAGTTTCTAACATCCTACAGCGTGTGGTAAGCGCACTATTGGAGTCTGGATAGGAGGTGACGTGGCTTATTCCAGGCCGTTGGATTTCCAATGGCTATTTTTTTCTAGGCTGTTGGATTTCTAACGGTAACAAAAAATTGAAATCTAACCCAATGACTAGATGACATGGCACAATCTGCACCGTTTGATTTCTAATCAACGGTCTAGGTTTTTCGGATTAAAAAATTATGAAAAAAAAGTAGAAATGTTATCGTTGGCCACGTGTCAAAATATGGGCTGTTGGATTTCAATTTTTTTGTAAGCCTATGGTCCAAATTAATTAAGTTAATACAAATTTATTAAAAATTATAAAAATTATTAGAAATTATTAAAAATTATTAAAATGCAGGAATTTTTTTTTCTATAAATACCTAAACTTTATCTTCCACTTTACACAATATTTCAATATTTTCAAAGACTTTCAACCAATCTTTCTCTCAAAGTTTTCATATACTTTTGTTTGAGAAAAAAGGGGCTAATGAAGCAGGTTCGAATTGGTTGGTCATCTAAGATGTTAAGTTGGGTAAATGTTGGATCCCAGCTACTCATGACCCGATTACTTTCTACTGACGCCACTTAATACTACGGTCTATTGTTATTCCCCTTCACTTGTAAGCGAGATGTCTTAGGTTCGATTCTAGCCAAAAACAAATTTGAACTACATTATTGCTAGCTCATTGTGAGGTTTAGCCCACTTTGTTACCCCCTAAGTGTAAATAATATCGTTTGTTCAAAAAAAAAAATTACTTTCCACTGACACCGCCTCTCTCTTTCATGTTTATTTTTTTGTTATTTTATTTTCCATTTTTGGGAGTTTAGAAATTAGTTTGGAAATTTAGAAGACTTGGCCAGCCATTGGTCATTTGCCACAATCATGTGATTTACTGGTTTACAGGGTGTTCAGTGACCGTCTAAACTGTAGAAGGAACAATAATACTACCAACATTAACGACGACAATAGTTGTCACCGAACGACATAGTTTCAACACCTTTTTTTTCTGGACAAAATCTTACACCTCATCTTATCTCATCTCATTTTACTGGAATGGTCCCATAATAACTTCCATGATATGGGCGCGATGGTATATCCGTGTTGTATAATGTAAGTTATTCTCTTAATAAGTACTTTCATGTCATATGTACATTACATTACAACGTTCAGTGATATAATATAATATGAACAAAAATTCACACATGTCCTTGTCACGGAAATCGGCGGTAATAGTGTATAAGTTGCTTACAAGTGAAACCAAACCAATAATGCTTAGGGTAGGGCCATCCACATGAATTTAATATAAATTAGAATAAATTTTGGTAAAACATAATCCGATAAGGTTTAGATTAAGTTACCACTTTTGAACAAAATAGATAAAGTGAGGTCCACGAAATGAGTGTAGAATGTAGGGTTTCTAAATAGTAAGCTGAGTCGTTCATAGTTTGGGAGCCTTGATTTAGGCAAAATAAAATTCAACTTTGTAGGGTTGAGATCAACAACGCAACCAAGATTTTTAAATAATGGGGTCATAATATTAACCAAAAATTTTTGTTTGACTTTTTTGTCGAGCACCTAGTAGGCACCTGACAAGACATATATTGAAAGCTTATACAATATATGTTGACAATTACTACTATTTATAGAGGCTTATCGAGGGTGGATGCAGGATACTGTAGAGTAATGTTGAAAACTATCGAGACTTGTCAACAAAGATATTTCATCGAGCACATGGTGCTCACAACATAGTCACATACAAGAAGAGATAAAAGTGAGACAAATATGATAGAAGAAAGTAAAAGTAGGAGAAGAATGTTGTAATTTAGTTTACCTTAGCTATTTATAAAGGTCAAATACATTACACAAACAAATATACATGGAGTTTTTGAAGTTGTTGGGGGTTAAGAACAACTAATAACGTCATGCTGGCTCCGCCACAAATTGAGATTTGTCGAATCGAATTTTGTAGGGTTGTGATTTGTTAAATGGTTTTGGTGGGAGAATCATGTTAGATAAACAAATATGTTAAAGGTATAGGTTGAGATTGAAATAGCACAAATTTCAAAAAAATAAATAGAAGCATACAACACAACCCCTCTTCACCTAAACGTTAATAAAAAAGCTAGGTTGGGATTGAAATGAAACAAATTAAAAAAAAATAGTTAGAGAGATTAAATTTGTAGATAAAATTTTATAAATTAAATGATATGAAAATTGATAATTGAATTATTACTTAAACGTTAATAAATGTGTTCATTCATATTGGTAACACGTCATTTAATTTACAAATTTAGTCTCTCTAACATTTTACTTTTAAAAAAAAAAAATATAAGCATACGACACAACCTCCCAACATGAATACAAAAGCGTCGTCCTGGACAACGGCGCCTTGCGACACACCCAGCGATCAACTCGCGACCCACCCATCAACTCGAGACGCTGATCGAGACCCACCGCAATGCTTGCGACCCCTGCAGATCGCTTGTAACCGGTGACCCACCATCAACGACCCGCGGCCCACACTTACAAAATCAGATCTCTGTTGACCTGAAAAAAAGAGGAGATGAACGTCCCGCGAAACGAAAATATGAGGTCGCCGGAATTGTAGCCGAAGTTGAGGAAGAAGAGAGAAAGAAGAGAGGACGGCGACGAAGGCTGAGTGGATTGGCTCCATAACCCATGGGTCGTGACAGGTTACGAAACCCGTCTATCATGGACTCAAATCCTGAACTTCAAATCCAGTCCGTGATACAATTTAGCTCATCAAATGTGAGTTGGCTTACGAGTCCGTGATACATTATAAGGCAAAATTGTTTGTTTAGAGTATTAAATCCAGATTTGGACAAAAGTAATAGGAACAAAATGATTTCAAATTATTCCTTGCTTATTCAATTTGGAACGTTTCTAAACCCAGTAATTTCAAACACGTTCAATCAAATGTGTGTGTATATATATATTTTATTTTTACCCAATTCCTCCCGGTGTATCTGCATATCCCACCTGCCATGATTAGGGATGACGACGGATCGGTTTGGGGACGGAAATGCTACATGTTGAAAGTGTTGAGTATATTTTGGCTTCTAGAGTCATCTACCATTTTCTCTAGGGTTAGTC